GTTGCAAACCCCTCCGATCTGTGGGGCCGCATCCAAGAATGTGAAAAATCGCAGATGCGGGCAGAAGCTGAGAAGAATAACCTCAAGGAAAAAATTAATGATCTCAACTCTAGACTCAGCGAGCTCAACAACAGCTTGCGAGACAAAGAAAGAACCATTCAGGACCTTAATAAAAAACTTGTAAGTTTTTAAGCTTCTTATATGTCCTTGCAAAAATCAGTAACGTTAGTGAAATATAGAATGCCTCTGTAATTGAAACTTTGTTATTTCAATTAAGAAATCTGGCCAGCATTGCCATGAGTCCATTCTTGAGAGAACTAATTAATTTTGTCTTCACACACTTTACAGGAAGAAGGGATGACAGAAGCGGAGATTCAGGAGACACTGAGGGAGAAGGTGCGCACACTGGAATCATATATGGTGGACATTGCACAGACAGTAATTAAGGATTCAGAGCAGAGTTCTGGTGATGTGGATGGCAAGACGCCCTCTGCATTCAGGTAATGATTTGTGTGAAGTTTGCAGGATTAAGGATCAGTATCTTTGTTTTTTAGGTTTTACTTCGCACATCTTACACCTTGACACTACTAGGAGGTACTGTGTGTTCTGTGTTGTTGTCTGTTTTTATGTAGTCCATAGTAATTATCTGAATTGAAAAGAGAATACAGAACTAAACCTTTAAGATCATAATTGTGCATGACTGAAACCATATTCCTTATTTCATTCACAGTTTCTTGTCTCTCCCTCCCTCCCTCCTTCCTTTTCTCTGCCTCTACATCTAACTCTCTCCTTCCCTCCATCTTTCTCCCTGTTATATAAGTATTATATACATATATATCCTTGCCCCTCTCCCCATATCTCTCTCTCTCTCTCTCTCTCTCTCTCTCTCTCTCTCTCTCTCTCTCTCTCTCTCTCTCTCTCTCTCTCTCTCTCTCTCTCTCTCTCTCTCTCTCTCTCTCTCTCTCTCTCTCTCCCTCTCTCTCTCTCTCTCTCTCAGTTTTGCTTGAAAATTCAGAAGAAATCCATTTGGTATAAGTGAATAGCAACCTTAAGGCATTGTTAGCATGACAGAATTACAAACGATTTCTGAAGTGCCATAATACTTAAGCTTTCCTCTGACCTAAATTTGCTGTTTTTTGCATTGGGAAGTCTGGAGGAAGGAAAAAGGTTAGTACATCTCCCATATTTGAAAAGGAACCCAAAATTTTATGCACTTTTCCCAGATTTTTTTTGCTGTAAAGCAGTGGTGAATAAATAGTCAACAATGATGAGATGATAACAGTGGACTTGAGAACGTTTTTTACTGTTATGATGACTTTTTCTTTTCCTAAGGAGAGAATTTTGTATGAACTGTACATATATTTAGAATGCTTTAATCAGTATAATATATATATATATATATATGAGTCATTAGTTAGAATATAATTTCTTGACTTAAAAAATGCTATTTTTAATTGAACATAAAACTGTAGTATAGCAGAAAAGTTACTTGTAATATTTGGCCTAAACAACATGTACATATACTCTCATTCTCTCTCTCATTTCTTGACTATATGAGCATGAAGAGATAAAAAGAGATACATGTCTGGTAACTGTTTTGTCTTTTGCAAATATCTTTATTTTGATTTTGATTTATATTTTATCATGTATATACGTTATGTAAGAGGCAGATGTGCATATTTGTCCCACGATTTATGTATGGTTCAGTGCAGTCACAGATTGCAAGGAAAAAGAGTATCTGTCAGTGATTGTTGACTCACAGCAGCATTGAATAGATTTATGTAATACGTCACCTTCTTTATGACCCATTTGTATCATAATTTCAATTTGCAGAATTGTGCGTGACTCAGAACAAGGCGTAGCACCAGACCTACCCCAGAGCACTGTTTCTGCTGTACGAACAGCCCTCTCAAATAGACATGTACAAATCCACGAGTTACAGGTACAGCACCTTTGTTTTAGAAACTGTTTGGTACATGACTAAGATCATTGTAAAATTTGTTTTGCAGCCCCCTTTTAAAAGACCTCTATGGCTATTATATGGGTTTTATTTCTCATTTTCAATTCTCACAGCTGAAGCTAACTTCCACCAAGGATCAGCTTGCATCCTTGAAGAAGCAGTATGAGGCAACTGAAGATTCTCAGAGGACCTTAGAGTCCACTATTGCCGAACTCCGTGATGAGCTGGAGTCAGTGCATAGACAGAAGGAGGAGATTGGAAGGGAGAAGGAACGACTCACAGAGGATTTGGATGCAGCTGTGGCAGAGAAGAGTTCCCTTGAGAAAGCTAAGCAGACTCTCAAAGCCCAGGTTGGTGCCCTGTTGCTTTTACAGATGTAACAGTGCTGTTGTGCTTTACTTGATTGTGATTACCAGTGTTAGGAATTTGTTGGTTAGATTAAAAGAACTATAAATTACAGGTCCTTTCAAGTTGTTCTAGAAATGTTTTATTGACTGCCAGAAATGTTGCAAGATTTTGTGTGGCCTCATGCTCTTATCAGATTAAAGATCTATAGGTATTAGAATGTTTAAATGTCTGAATATGAAATATCTTAATCCCAAATTGTGCAAACTTCAGTCTCAGTGAAAGTCTGTGATACTATTTGCTAATTTGACCTCTCTCCATCAGTTGCAAAATGCTGAAGAAGAAACAGAACGCAGAAGCAAGCAGGTTGCTGAACTGGAGAAGGAGAAAGCAGCTTTGGGCGAGGAACGAGCTTACCTCAACAGCAAGCTCGGGAAGGAAAAAGAGGAAGTGCAGAAGCATGTTCATACCATCACTGTCCTCAACTCTGAGCTGGCCAGTGTCCAACAACAGGTACAGTGTTCCTTCCCCTGTCCTTTTGATAGAGGCTGATAGATGGGGACGTTGGTACTTAGTAGATTTGGATTATAGGCATTTAATGATTGTGAATCCAGGAATTTCTTTGACTTTGTGATGAAATAGTGAGGTCACTTGGTGGGGTTTAAAGTTATAGGAGCATCCTGAAATTTGACTGTGAATGATTGATGTAGATGTGATTATGGCATTGATTCATGTTTTTAGTATATGTGTATATTATTTATCTGTATTTCTCTTATTGTGTACTTGTTTGTCTCTGTGTGTGTTTGAGTATGTCTTTGTGGTATTGTTAAAGTTATAAACAAAGATTAAAGACATATGGTAATGACCAGATTAAAAAGTTAATTTGATACAGTTGTCTGTTGTCCAAATGGATTTGCTAAATTCTCTCTTTTGATAAGTACCTTTTTTTTGTGTTTTCTTATCACGTGTAGCAGATGGAAATTAACTTTTTTATTATGATTTTGCTCACTGAAGTATAGGAAGGACTTGCATAATGCTGCTAGTAAAACATAGTACTTGAAAGCTAGGCTCAGTATGAGAGTGTGAAGACTGGCTTATGCTCGCAGGCTCTTTAATTTTATTTTGAAGTAGATGCTTTATTGGTAAAAACTAAAAAGAAAAAGAAAAATCCATGAGTGTAAACTAGTCAACTTCACCAGTATTTTCAAAGTTTGATACTATGTAAATAAAGTATTTGATAGAGGTATTACAATATCTATTGGTTAATTTTTTTTCTTAAGGAAAGCCTTTGTAGGACAAAGATACCAAACATTTCCTTTAACATTTTGTTTCCTTTTTGATAGTGCTGTGTGAGCATTAGTCACCATAGGTTTTATTATAGGTTTTTCATCTTGTTCATTCAGTTCATCTTTTGTGTAGTAGTATCTCCTATTATTATAATTTTTGGGGGACAATATGCATCACATGTGTTTTATCTAGATCACAGACTTGGACAGTAGGACTACAAGCATTGTAATAGTTGTCCACAAAGTCTCTTTGCTCGTAGTTTTGATCTTTTCATCTGACTTCACTGTTGTATTAACCTTTTGGTCAGTCTGCTCTTAATTGAACATCTTAAATGTTCCTTCTATACTTGGACGAAGGAAAGCTCTAAGGTAAAGCACTTTTATAATAGTAGTTTTTGTCTAGAGATCAGAAAAGCAGTAAGAATGAAAGTGAGATTTGGAATTTCTCTTTAGTCATTGCTAAAATTGTTGTGTCTGCTTTATATTGATGGACAGTAAGCAAAAGAGGTTATAAATTTTATAAGTTTTATAATGACTTATTGGCAGCTAAAATGAAGATGGTTGGCAGTTACATGACTTCTCATGCCAAAAAATTGAATAATTTCTTGTTGGACTGCTCTTAAAAATTATTTTATAAATATATGTGCTGATTGTGTGTGTTTGTATTATGGTTTATCCCTGTTCATCCAATTCTAAATAGAAGTGATATTTTACTGCCCATGGTATGTTGTCTTTTCAATGTGCCGTGTTGTTTAGCAGAACAGTTAAGGTTATTCAAAGGATAAAGCTATTTTGCACTGGTCACAGATGGCACAACGTACATGCTATGTTTACTGTAATTTTAGTTTATCAATTGCATTTACACAGATGGTTCTGCAAGTGCTTATTCACAAGTAGTCAATTATTAGTCTGCCCAACTCACTTGTTTTCCCATCTTCTTGAGTTTAGGAAAAAGATTGAAAAAAATATACATTGCTATTAATATTTCTATAACATTAAAATTTCAGTAATGATGAAAATAGTATCAGTGCATAAAAGATATATTTTTCAAGAAATTTCAAGGAATGGGAAAATCAGGTGCAGCCATAGAGGGCCTTCTGATTGAGTCCTTGGTGGCTGAGCACAAGTAGAGCCATATGTCTACAAAAAAAAAAAAAATCGCTATGAACTCATGGCTTATGATACAAGTATGATGTGTATGATAATGTGAGGTGATTTATCTCATATTTACAAGTACATTACTTTGTAATGGTGCATTTTTGAGATTTATATCAGATTCTCTGATATACTGCTAGATTCAGCAGAATTCCCCAAGATGCTGCCATGATAACATTAGTAATTGTAGACCATGATTTCCTTTGAATATCCTTTGCAAGTTCTATGTGTTTCTGCAAAGTGATGGCTCTGCTGTAAATGACTTAACCTGCCTCTGTTTTGTGCACCATGTGGATGTCTTCTGTAACCATGTCTTGCTTTGCATTTAAAACCAGACAACTTGATTTACAGATTGTTATACACCACAGATGAAAGGCCTTTCTGAGTTAATATGCATGTAATCAATAATACAATATTGTATATGAGGTAAATTTCACTTCACAAGAGAACTTCTAATGTAAGTTTTTGTATATATTATTGAAAAACAGCGCTAGGACACTGTGACATTATGTGGTCTCACAGCCAGTGCAGTCCTGAGTTTTAACTTACTCTTAAACATGTTTTACCTTCTTTTTTTGCAGTCCTATGAAAAAGGAAGATTCAAAATTTCTTTTGAGATCTTTTTATTGTGTGGCTGCAAATCCTAAAAAAAAAAATGTACAGCACCTCACAGTGTTTTGGTATATTAGATGAAAAAAGAGGTACTCTATCAAGATTGACTTTCACATTCCATTTCGTGTTTGTTATGATTAGTTGTTTCATACATTGCCCCCTTTTAAGAGCACTTATTCTTAGTTGGTCAGTGTTGTCATCAAATCTTGTAATATATTCTTCCTGAGATGAGATTTTCATTGTTTATTTAAGATTTTCATATGGTACATTCATACTTTATTGTAGGTAAGTATGTGTTATCTTGTTTTTTTGTTTTAGAGTCACAGATCTATTGTAACCTGTTACATATGTCATACAGATAGCTTTAATGCAGCTACAATTCTGTTTCCCATTGAAGTAGATATATATATTTTTTTACATACTAATTTAAAGTAATGATTTTACTTACCAAGACAAATGTAGATCCTCTTTCTATGTATGTGTGAATGCATGTGTGTGTTATATTGAAAGACAAGCAATGGTGAAAGGGGACTAGCTCAAAAGCAGGTGAACATATCATTAAAAGGCCTCTCCTTTGTATCATGGGTATTGTATGGCATATTTTGTTGTCTCATATCCATTGGTGTTTTATTGAAATTGAATAAATAGGTAGACAGGAAAGATAGATAAAGATATTACACGTTTATAGCACTGATCATGTAAGGGCAAGTGCATTAGAAGGGGAAGGAATAATTGAGAAATCCAATGATAATCAACTATCCACTGTATAATATTGCAAGATTGATCAGCATTGTTTGATGATATTGGGGTCAACTTCTCTATTTTGTAAAATTACTGGTGTTTGAAGTAGATATGTTTCAGAAAGTGGTGATGCAGTAAGGAAAAAAAATTTGATGTAGCTTCAGGAAGATAGAGATAGATTTAAACCTTTAACTGTATATGTACATAACTCTTAAATATATATGTGTGTTTTAGAGAAGTCTTTTTGCCAGCTGCTTTAAATTTGTACACGTTTTCTAACTTTTAAAATTTTACTCATTCTAGATTTTTAAGTGATAAACTTTTGAGAATAGTGTTAATATGTTTTTACTTATTAGTAGTAATATTCTTTAATCATTATGAGACACTGGTATTTTTTATGAGACATGATTTCTTGTAGCTTCTATTCTGAAATACTCATTAGTAATTTTGGGTATTGCTTGGCATTTGCCCTAGGACTGTTTATTTACATATGGAAGTATTTGTTCATTTCCATGTATCAGAGTACAATTTGTTAATCTTTTTTACAGGTAACTATTCTATCTGAAACCTTGGGGAAGGTCCGAGCTGCTGAAGAACGATTAGACCAGGAAAGAGATGACCTGAAGGACCAGATCCGAGCCATGGAGCGGCAGCGGGCTGACCTCGAGGCTAAGCTGGCACATTCATTGCGCCAGGAGACTGACCTAAGGGATGCCTTGGAGAAGGTAGGTTGTGCTAAGGCTTCAGGAGGGTACGCTTTGTATTGCTCTGTTTTTTTATTTATTTATTTTTCTCTCTCTCCCTCCTTCTATTTTTTTTTCTTTGTTTTTAACTTCGTTCTGCTCTTTTTTTCTTACATTTCTATTTAAGTGCTTGTTTAGGATTAACTTCACACCTGAGTAAAATGAGGCATTTCCCAATGAAAAATAACTGCTCTTCCATACAAATGCTATAAGATGGATAACAAGCGTATAATAGATAACAGTGTGATAAATAACAATTATTTCCTTTCTCTTAAAAGGTCGAGTCTTACAATATCAACTTAGGCCAAGACAAGTCCCAGCTGGTATCTAAGATCACTTCCTTGGAGACTGAACGAGCAGCATTAGGCACAGAGCGAGCAGAACTGCGGGCAGAAGTGGAGCGACTCAAAGACGATCTGGAGGCACTGGAGGAGGAACGATCCAGTCATGAAACTACTATAACCACTCTTAATGAAAAGATCAATCTTCTTAATGTGGACAAGGAGAAAGTGAGTCAGTTATGCTTGTAATTTATATGCATTTTTTAAACCATTTTTGTATTTATGTATACTGTTGAATGCAGTTCCTTTTCCTGGTCTTTTTAGACTTGTACTATTCTGAAAAGGTTTTACTGATTTGAAAAAAAAAAAAAAAATGAATTGAGAACAGCTCACTTATCTTTCTTCTTCTTCTTTTTCTTATGACAGATTGAATTAGAATTAAATGACATCATATCTGAACGGAATGAGCTCCACGGACAGCTGACATCTTTGGAAAGAGTTAAAACAAATCTGGAGAGTGAACTTACCACCGTTACAAATACATTAGCAGAGAAAGTCAAACTTATTGAACGTCTCAATTCAGACAAAGAAGGATTAACCAAGGAGAATGCAGAAATGGAGGCAAGTATCCAGCAGAATCTCTTATAGATACATATTGTTGTCTAATTGTCTGTTAGATGATAACTTAAAAACCCTTTACAACTGGAGCTTATGTACTTGAACCTTGTTGTATTGTAAACAGTACTCATATTTGACTTTGCATTAATATAGAAGAATATGTACATCAACTTTTCTTTTTTTCTTTTCTTTTTTTAACAGGTAAAGCTTACAGGAGCAGAGAAGGAACTGGCAGCTTTGCGTGAATCTTTAGCCACTCTAAAGGCAGAGAAGCAGAGTCTTGAGAGCTTTGCCACTTCCTTAGAGAAGAAGTGGTCAAACAACGAGGCTCGGCGAACACAGCTAGAGAAGGAGAATCATCAGTTGACAACAGACAAAGAGCGTCTCAATACTCAGGTAAATGAATGGTTGGGTTGTTAAATCAGTGTTCTGTTTCTAAATTGTGTGTGTGTGTGTGTGTGTGTGTGTGTGTGTGTGTGTGTGTGTGTGTGTGTGTGTGTGTGTGTTTGTGCCTCCATATATGCATATTTGCAAATATATGTAGATACATATATATATATATATATATATATATATATATATATATATATATATATATATATATATATATATATATATATATTTAAAGGTACTGATATTCATTTTCATATTTGCAGATGAACAAACTCCAGCGTGAGCTTGAGGGTGAATTGTCTAAGTTACGAGAAGCTCGGACTGCCTTAGAACGTCGCTTAGATGAAAAGGAAACCGAACATAAGAAGTCTATCATGCATATGAAGGACCAGCATGAGGAGACCATAGACAGCTTACGCAAAGAGAAGGTACAAAGGCATATGTATATTAATTTAAACTCTCCGCAAAAGAAATTGGGGTGGGTTGCAAAAGTTGCCATTGTATAAAAAGTTGTAAGTTCAGAACATGTAAAAATAATGCTATTAAGCCTTTTATTAATCTCGTGGACATAGTAACAACTTTGATCAATAATGGGGGTAAGTCAGAGTTTTCCTTTGTCATTCAATGTCAGTGCCCTAGATGCTTGGTCAAGCATTAAATCAGAATCCTGGCTTAGAGGCATTTTTGGTCTGGGGAAAATTTTATTTAATCACATCTTAATATTTCCAGAACAATCTACAGTCAGAGTTGGAAGACAAACTGAACTCGACCATCCACTCTATGAAGATGGAGAGAGATGAGCTCGAACTCAAGAAGGACCAAGAGATATCGAACCTGAAGCGCTTTACCGAGAAACTCCAGCGGGAGAGAGATGATTCAACTCTCCGCTTTGAGGAAGAGAAGCATAGGTCAATGATGATAGGTAGGTCTTCATATGTAGACGTCCTATGTGTATATACAGAGTCTTAAGCAATCTGTAAATCTTCTTTTGATAGCCAACCAATCATATGCTCTATATTTGTAACAAAATTTAGTAAGTTTTAGGCAGAGAAACTATGACTTTGTTATTGACTTATCCAAAGTACATGTACGTGTACTTGAACACAGAGAATGTATACTTATATTAGATAATAGCCAATTTGCTTTATTCTTTAATGCAACCCACATTACTGGTTTGTGAAAGTGGAACTATAGTAATAATGGTTTTATGTATTGGATAATTCTAGCTAAACAAGAAATCTCCAGCTTAGAAGAGAAGGTCGCTGTCCTGCAACGAGATCTGTCAAGCTATGAAAACCAACTGGAGCAACTCCGTCGTGAGGGATCCAGCAAGGCCGAGGCAGGCCGAGCAAGTGAAGGGGCTCTGCACACCCAGATCGTCAAGCTCAAGGAGGAATTACACTCATCCAGGTTTGTGGGACGCATTGATTTCATTTTCTTTTTTACCTTATTATATTTTTTCTTGGACATACTGAGATGGTGAAAATCATGTGTTTATATTGTTTTATAAAAAGAGCTTCATCACACTTGCTCAGTATGTAGACAAGGCTCAAGAAATTGGGAAAAATGAGTCTCACTGACACTTTCCACATTTTTGGGAAAGGAGGCTAACAAGTTTTCTTGCAGCATATTTGAATTTTCTTGAATATTAACTTTAGTAATCGTTCAGTCATTAGCCTTTTGTTGTTTTGCTATACTGAAGGCGGTGTGCTTCGAAAGTGCATCAAGTATTCCAGTGCAGCAGTGTCTGAAGCACAATGCTTTCAGTGTTTTGAATGAGAAATTGCCTGCATTTCATTTGCATTTTCTCTTTTCTTATTTTTTGGGCACAGTTTGCATGGGATTGTCTAAAATTATTAAATAGAGTAGTCCTATTTCTTAAATGGCAATGCTTATTGCTTAGAATGTAGCATATGTACCTCATGAGTTTTTCTTTATCAGTCAGCAATTTGAAAAGCAGCTCAAAGATGAGAAAGACTCGTATGAGCGCAGAATACGAGAGCTCCAGAGCCGTCTAGATGAATCCAGAAGAGATCACGAGGTGGAAATCACATCCATCAAGACGGACTTGAGACTGGCTCGAGAGGATGCATGTAGGCTTCAGCAGGATTTGGAGGATGCAGAAGAGAAGCTCAAAGAGGGTAAAGGGCTAATGATCTTTTGGTATTTTTTGAGATTTTGATGTTACTACAATTGCCTTATCCTGTTGTTGATTGCTATCAGTTTTTGCCAGTACCAACTTTTTTTTCCAAATTGGCACCAAAGCTTAATTGACACACTGCATTTATGTGTTCTTTTATGAATTATTTAGTTACTGAAAATTAAAAATATCAGGTATGAAATTGAATATTCATTTTAATTTTAACAATGTTTTACTCTTGTGAAACTCAGCGGAAGACACCCGGGTCACACTAAAGAAAGAGGTGACAAGACTCAACGAGGAAATGCGAACCAGTGAAGAACGGCACTCAAGCGACCTGCAATCTTTCATCAAGAAATCAGACAATGAAAAGAGAGATTTGCAGAAGCGCATAGATGATAAAGACAGCAAGCTGAGCAGTGAGTTAGACTTCTGTGAAATATGTGATTCGATATGATTATGCATAACATTAAACTCTGACTATCTTCAGTTTTATATTCCGAATCAGATTTTCGTTACAAGAATTAGAGATCATGCATCTTTGGTTTCCACATTTCAGCCCTAGAAGTCTCTGAAGCCAAGCATGCTGACCTAATAGCCCGCATGACAACACAACTTCGGGAACTCAGCGCCACCAAGCAGGATGCCAACAGGGAGGTTTCTGACCTCAAGAAGAAGCTCCAGGTTAGTTACATTCTTTGTATGTTTTTGGAGTACCTTTATTTGCTACAAACATATTATTTAATAAAGAAAGGTGTATAAGAAGAAAATAGTTTTGAAATTTCTAGAGAACTGATATATATATATATGTATATATAGTACAGATCAACTTTACATTAAACAGTAAAGATGTTTGAATTTCTGTTATGCTGTATGAGCTAAGTATTTTAATGCATACTCTTTTCTTAGCTGTTGGAGACTGAGGGTATGGGCAAGTCACAGGAGTTGGAAAACCTCCGTCTCCGCCTCACACAGGAGGAAGATCGTCACAGCGAAAGTAGGAAGGAGGTCAGCAAGTTGAAGACCAAGGTAAGGATGGATAACTTTCATGGCCGGCAGAGAAAGTTGATGTTGTAGTCTGTGGATGTATTTTTAGGTACAGCACAGGTACTTACCGAGATTTTATTCATGTTAGGCCCATTGGCAGTAATGTGGTTTTTCTTTGATAACTGACACACTGTATTATAATTCATTAATATCAGCCCAGTGACACTATAATGCCTGTATGAATACTGAATAAATTTTGGGGAACATTATGTTATAACTACCAAAAATGTGCAGCTGGCAGAGTATGAGAGAGAGCGAGACAACCTGCAGACGGAGTTGGCTCTCCTTGAACGCAGACTGACAGAGCTCGAGGATCACCATGCTGCCAAGGAACAGGAACTTGCCTCAAGGTAAATTATCCTTGTATTGTTTTTCTTTTCTTTTTTTTTTTTTCTTGTCCTTTCAAAAGAAATTATGAAGTATATAATGGAAGATTTATCTTGTGATATTTCCTTTCAGAGGTCTAATAAAACTAATTTCACTTTCCTTTCAGTCTTGAGGAGTCTCGTGCTAATGAGCGTAAGCTAAATGACGAGAAGAAGAATCTTGAAAATTACCTTAATAATGCCAACCAACAAATTAGTGATCTCAAGGTAAATTAGACAAAACTTTACTTTTATAGAGTTTGTCTCTGTAATTTTATTTTGACTGTACACTGAAATTTAGGTACCTTTAAATAGAGAAAATACCAATATTTGTGATTATTGTTATGATTATTGTGATAAATATTCAAATTCAAGTGATTTCCATGAGAGTTGGTTATAACTATAATAATTGTGCAGACAATAGATCAGCATGTTATGAAGGCTTAATTTGGCTATTAATACCCCTGTTTTAGGAAATATGTAACTTTCTTTCTTCTTTTTCATCTTCTAGGTGAAGTTATCCAGAGAAGAAGGCCATGTTGAAGCCCTAGAACAGCAACTAACCACACTCGACAATAACAGGGACCAGCTCGAGAGGAAACTGCAAAACGTGTACACATCATTACGGACTGTCACTCGCATGTACCAGGACACCTCACCAGCATCACCTGCATTAAGGAGCAGGAAGGGCACCAAGATTGGTTGGTATAGCAAGCTTTTGCGGTAGTCAGTAGCCGAGGAGAGCCAGAACGTGGGCGCGGTGATAAGATTGTCTTTTGCTAGGTCATACCTCAAGGGAATAATAAGTATTTCTTTGCATGTGTCATAAGACAGTTACAGATATGCTTCCAGCTTTAATATCCAGAATTATATTTAAAAATGTATATACATATTTATATATACTAATGTGAGTTTTCACCATAAATCTATCTCTTTCTGTCTTTCTTTTAATTGTTTTACTTTTATTAAGTTCTATTTGTTTTCTTTTTTTCTTATGTGGTACCATCTAGTTTAAATCATTAGGATATCTAAACTGTAGCAGGAAAATAATATGATGAAAAAGATTGAAACCTCTAAAGTTCATCCTGATGCCGTTGCATTCCATGTGATCACCAGCATCATGGCTTCATCCTCCTCCAAGCCAAGAAGTGAACCCATTCCCAAAAGTAAAAAGCCTGCCTCTGCTCTGGACCAACATGCGAACTCATCCTCTGAGACAGTAAACATATCTATGCAGCTATTTCCATGTTCTCTTCCTCATTGTTGCCCAAGTAAGATCTACAAAAGCTGGTTCAAATAAGCAAGATTTGATCAAGATATGTGGATGAATGTCATCTGGAACTCCTTAAGTGTTATGAGAAGTGCATTAAGACAGAAGTGGTTGACAATATTATGCCCTTTGAAATGGGGCCCATCCATCATATGTGGAAGATAGTGCTTTTAGATTATATTTAACTGGCACATCATGATATTGTCAGGCTTTAGATATAGTTACTAGGGTATAGCAAAAATTGATATTTGGTATATATTTGAGTATTACTATTCAACAGGGAAATAATGTTGATTTTAATTTAATCCATTATTGTACTACATATAGAAGTTAAAGGGAAGTAATTCATTGATTTGTTAAAAGATATGAAGGCAGCTGAAATAGTTTGTCTTTAGATATATTTCTTGCAAGACTTTTTTGTCTAAGTTTAGAACCAGAATTTGTAAATTATAGGGACTTCAATGTGTTCCTCAGCTTAAGAGTGCTAAGGATGTTTCTGATGATTCAGCCTCTTCATTAATGTAAACAGATAGAAATCCACATAACAGTATAAAAGAAAAATCTGATGAACCTTAGTTGTAGGACTAATAGCTTCAGTATTGAGCAGAAAAGAGCATTTTACTTAGTGACCAGAAATAAAGGAACATTAATGAATTACTGAAGATCTGCCTCGTTCTGTCAAGTCAGCTTTTACAAAAACTGAAGAAGACGAGTGTTACATATATGGAGATGACCCCAGTCTTTTGCAAGCCAAGAAGACCAGTTAGTGCATTGTTACATATGATAATACTACGTGTTTAGACAGAAAAGGAGCCTTAAATATCATTGCAAAGGGAATGATTCTCTCCTATCTTAACCACTCAAGGAAGAAAAATACGGCAATTGTCATTCTCAGCTATATGTGTATACTGGACAAAAACAAGGCAGAAGTTTTATAGAAAAGATATTCCAATGAAACACTTTATAACTATTGAAATTAGAATAAATGTGGGACAAAATAACTGTGTATTAAAACAGATCCGTAAATGCATCTTGCCAGCATGCACATGTAACTCTGAACTTTGCTATGCTTTGAGGTATACTATCAAGAAATGTGTAGGGTTCTGCAATTTTATAGAATGGGTTCATTTCTTCCTCTTGGGTTAGGCATGAATAGCAGTATCAAATGCATCCATGATCACCATACACAAGACAGGTAAAAAAATATATGTTTTTACCAATAGCAGCACCTATTATGTATTTTGGTGTATATAGATAAAGAAGCTGATATTTTTATCTTTCCTTTTTTCTCTCATTCTTGCTTCTCTTTATTTTCTTGCTTCATTTTAGATAAATGACTTGAGCAACTTGGTAGTACCATGGTAAGAAGAAAATCTATTGTTACTTTGTTTTCTATTTATTTTTTCGTTATATTTTTTTTTCATTTTGGACTACTATCAAGTTCCATTCCTTTATTCCCTTCCTGCAGCTTATGCATTTCACTTTTTAAGAATTAATTTTCTAAAATCTGATAAATCCCTATCATCTGCATTACCTGATGATGCATTTTATATATAAGATCTATTGTTAATATACTGATATAGATTTGTTTCTGTTGTCAATGTATAAAAGACATGAAAAGACACTGAAGCGTGTACATTTAGTTGTATAGTCGGTGCCATTTTAGTAAATTCTCAATAGATTACTTTGATCTTTGTTACCGACTTTGTGGTCAGGATTTCCTCCAAATCTTTTCCCTTGACAGATATTTGGACGTATTACAATATATTAAAAATGTACAAATAAAGAAAGAGCTTGCTTTGTAGAAATTACAATTGATACTGCTTTTGCTCCCGCTGAAAAAGTAATGTTCACAGTATTATAGTAATGCTGTTAAGTTAAGGAAGTACATTATATTTATTTATATATATATTCAGTAATGACCTTATATCCTTAACTGATATGTACATGAATTGTTCAGCATCAGTTAAGGATAAGCCACTTCTTTTATGACAGGAGTGTAAATAGCGACTTTGTGTTTTCTCTTCCCCTTCCATTTTTCTTTGTCTTCTCTCTTTTTGTTTCTCTTCCTTTTTTGTTGTTAATATAATTTCCCTCATTTGATTTGGTTTTGATTTATGATATAAAAGATATGTAAACAGATAAAGGAATTTTTTTTATCTATTTAATGTTCTTTGATTCATAAAAGTATAAGCTCTTTAACAGCTATGAGCTTTCTTCTACAAAGGAGTAAATTAAAACTGGATTAGTTACTCTTTGTATTGAAATATTAATATATTTTTGATCTTCTCCATGCACTTTTTAACAAGAAAGTCAGATACTGTCTGACTTTGGCTCAAATCTGTTTATTATATACATTTTTTTTTAAGTCCACATATATTTACCTGCAATGAATTCAGAACAGCTGAAGTGAAAACTAAGCTTAGAACTTGAATTTTCAGATATTATAGATTATTATTGTAAAGAAACCAGTAATATAGATTTGCAAAGTGATTAAGGTGATGTACCAGACTCATTATTATTCTGATCATATACACTAATTACATTCTTGATCCACACTCTCTCTCTCTCTCTGATTAACATAATGTTTCTTTGACACGTTTGTGAGAGTATTTTGGTAGAAGATATCTGTAAAGTAATTTTGAAGCTTTGTAATTTTTGCTGTAGTTTCCAGTAGTTTTTGATAGTGGTGTGTGTGTGTGATGTAATACACAGGTAAACATAAAGATATCCAAACATGTACATACATCCTCCTGTGTGTTTTTTACTTTTTTATTCCAAATTCTTTGTTTATAAAATATCTTGTTATATTTATGCCTAAATAATCCACCATTACCTACAGGTTTCGAACTGTCTGGTAGCCAGAGTGATCTGCATGCATCCATTGAAGCTCTTGGATCATCTGAAAAGGTCAACGTTGCAGACATTGACCCAGAGACTGTTCGCCATGAGCTGCGAGCTCTCATGACACAGATGAACCAAGTAGAACTGGAAAGGGTGAGAGGAATTTAAGGGTATACTCTTGATTAATTCAGATTAACAAATAAAAAAAGAAAAGAAAATTAAAGGATAACACATAAATGGGTTTCTTGCTGTATGCCAGATTCATGTTTTGTTTAGATTTGTTAAAAGTAAAAAAAAAAAACTGAATTTCCTGCCTTGACTTTGCTTCTTGGAATTACAGGATGACGCCATGGCTCGTGTGTCGAGTCTTGAACGTCAGCTTTCCGAGCTCCAGGAATCTCACCACAAGTCGGAGGCAAGACTAAGAGACGTTACTCGCACCCTCTCAGAGTTAGAGGAGAAGAAGCGCTATGCAGATGACAAACTTAATAAGTCCTTGTCAAATGCCAGCCAGCAGGTGAGAGGGTCTGAACTTGAATTGAATTTAGGAATATCATTTTTTTATTATATGAATCTTGTGTCTTCTCATTTAGTACTTTCTAGAATTGAAATTCCTTCATGCAATGCTGAAAAAGGTGGTATAATCCCAGCATTTCAGTCAGTACGGTTTGTATATTTTACTCATCATAATTTACTACATCACAGAAGCAGATATCATTTACAGATATTTGAGGCCATCAAGGGATACAACACAAATAATAAGCTTTCCTAATCTTTGAGTATTATAAACGTAAATAAAACGCTTCCAGGAGGACGCTCTTCGACGCAAGGAGAGTGAGATCCGCAGCCTGAACGAAGAGCTGAGCAACACAAGGCGTAAGGTCTCTGATCTGGAGCATGACAGGAGCACTCTGGATGTAAGTTTTGAGGATTGTATTTTGTTTAAGAGTGGCTTGTTTTAGGGATGCATAGGTGGAGCGTTTGTATATTTGTCGCGTTATTCATATTATGATGAAACAAATGATAAAGATTGTTTTAGGGATGTATATGTGGAGTGTTTGTATATTTGTCACAATATTCATTTTATGATGAAACAAATAATAAAGATAACAATTGGAGAAAAGGTGTCCCACATTTTAGTGAACCCATATTTTGTACCCTATAGGACCGTGTACAGAAACTGAAAAGTGCAGTTGGTCGACTGGAAATTGAAAATGCAGATATCAAGGAAAAGCTGAGGGCAGCAGAACAGCGAGGAACTCTCCTTGAGGACTCAAAGACAAGACTAGAGGCAGATCTCAGTTCTTCAAAGAAGGCCATCAATGAGAAGCAAATGGAAATTGAGGTAAAGAAAATTTAGGAGGAACTGTCTCATTAATATGTATATTAGGAAGAATATAGATTTCTCCTTTTGATTGATTGGTTGGTTGATGATAAGGCAGGTTCATTCTAATTCATTAAAAGAAAAGAAATTATGATGGGAGTACTCCAGAAGAAGTGAATAAAGGCCCAGGTAAATGCCAAAAATTCACAAATACGTGCAATGTACATCACAAGTACTTTAAGCTAGCCTAATTGGAGGCTATGGTCAAAGTTGGTCCCAAATCCATGTGGACGTAGGAAACATATTCTTAGAGTAACATGCTTACTAAGCCACAGGATGGTGCAGTAGGGTGGCCAGTTCCTTTCTGCTATGGTAATAGCATAATTTCCAAGAAGTAGACAAATACATTTGAACTATCTTAAAATTGATTAGAGTAAGTAGGTACATCCTAACATGTGGTTTGGTATGGGGGCTAAAGTTTTGTAGGCTTTTTTCTTCTTCTTCTTCTTCTTTTTCTTCTTCTTCTCCTCCTCCTCCAGAGTCCACTAATATATCTGATACTGTGTGGCAAGTTCCCTTCAGCCACACCCAAGGTATCATCCCCCATACCTTCAATACCTTTGTAAGTCTCCCTGAGCCAATCATGCAACTGCATCTTTTTAGTTCTCGTTATTTTCAAACATTTTAGTACTAAATTTGACCAACCATTATACAACAAGACTTCTCTTCCTCACTTTCCCAAAGAATCTCCACTCAACGCGAGAGAACAGCAGCCGAATGATGCGTTCCATCGAAGACCAGAATGCCATCCTCAAAAGCAAAGTGGAAGACCTGAAGACAAGAATGGCAATCGTATCCAACTCGGAGTCTGAACTCAAGGATAAACTTTCGGCCATCAATCGATCTCTGAAGGAGACTGTGGCTTCATCGGGCAGCATGCAGGAAGAACTCAGTCGGGTAAGTTAATTCTGGTGTGCACATTTTCCTTGTCGTGTTGTTTTTGAAAGACTCTAACTCTCATCTTTGTGGAAAACTATTACTGAATGTTAAACAAGTCAGGTGACCATGTATATTATGTGTATATATGGTTAATCCAGTGTTTCTCTCTTTCCCATTAGATTATTAGTGCAAGTGGAAATGAAAATTATGGTTTTATTATAATTGTCTTCAAGCAATATATTTGGCTATTGTAATATTATTCATGATTTGAGGATCAATTTGAAAGACCCCCTTCCATTACCCATTAGAGATTTTAGTGTGGGACTGGACCCATGTTGATCTTTAATAGTCAAAGCAAATGTATCTATATCAGCAAATGGAAATACAGCTATATTGTAGGAAATCCAGATACAGGTTTTTGAATTCTAGTTGGTTCTCAGATATTTGATAAGGTTAAGTCTTTTTTTATTTTTTTTTATTTTTTATTTATTTATTTTTTTTAAATAGGATTTATATTTATGCACATGAGATGCTGAATATATTTTCTGCAAGCTCTGTGAATAATACAATAAAATTATGTAGCCTATTGTGATAACCAGTAAATTATCCTTCTACTATGCCTTATAGTCTCAGAGCCAGCTGGCGAGAAGCGATGCTGAGCGCCGTCAGCTGGAGGAGCGTGTAGCGGACCTGCAGAGCGCTGTGGGTGAACTGAAGAGGCAGAAAGATCAGCTGTCAGAATATAAGAGCAAGGCTCAGCAAGATCTTTCCAATGCTGAGATAAAGAATGCTGAGCTGGAGATGAAAATGAAGTCTCTGAAAGGGGTAATTAACATCATTCAGAATAAATTAAATATATCCACCTCATGATACATAAACGACTTGAGGCTGTAGTGAGTGTCATAGGGTTTAGTATGGGCTTGCAGTTACTAACACACATATACAGGTATATACTTAGTTACATAAGTACATTTACACTTACTTATAAATATAATTGTATATATCTATATATACATACATACTTATATATATTTACACATCCACACATATATTTCTCTCTCTCTCTCTCTCTCTCTCTCTCTCTCTCTCTCTCTCTCTCTCTCTCTCTCTCTCTCTCTCTCTCTCTCCCTCCCTCCCTCCCTCCCTCCCTCCCTCCCTCCCTCCCTCCCTCCCCCCCCCTGCTCTCCTTCCCTCCCTCTTTCTTTCTTTCTCTCTTCCTGCTCCTCTCTCTCTCTCACTTACTCCAGGACACACAGATATTACTACTACACAGCATGTGTAGATTTGCTGTTTTATAAAAAATATCAGATGCTTTCCTCTTATCTTAGAAAAATTTGGGACTTTTGAGTAATATTAAGTGGAGCCTCGACTATCTTATGTAAAGCAAAATGTACAACTTTGAGGAGAAGATTCCTTAAAATTCCTCTATTCCATGTACTAGTCACAATATTTTTATGTTTGTATGTTTTGCTGTAAATTGCAAATTATTGTTATCCTTTAGTTTGATTCTATATCCTGAATTATGTATTACATTTAAGATTAGTTTTACATGCTACACTTTATAAAGAAATTGTAAATCAGTGACCAACTGTATTATATATAATGTATGGCAGTATCAGGAGGTTATGCGATATTGTAATAGCACATAAGCAGAAGTGTTCATAAAAGATGTATTATTGTTAAGCTTTAAAAGTCATTAATTAGGAGAGACAGCATAGAATCCAAAAATGAATTATTTGGATAATGATAGCGTCTAGTTGGAGTAGCTAGTGATTATGTATTATGCTGGGAAATACAACTCTGTGATACTATTCCTAGAAATAGTATGCATATATTTAAGAGGTTGACAAATAGTGCAGGTTTTGTAAAGTGGTTTAAATTTTTCTATACAGTGTTTGGTGAAAAGGCTTAGATGAACTCTATTGCATAGTATAAAATATCCAGCTATTTTTTTTGTTTTGATAACTTGCTGTGTTGACATACTAAGATAAATACTAAAATAATTAAGCAATGTGATCCAAGTTTTGTTTTGTGAGTGCATCTGTCTTCAGCCTTTGGTAATTTGATCTACGGTCATCGCGGCATATTGTAATTGTAAGTTTAATCATATTTACATGGTATGACTTGCTAAGAAATTCTTAAAGAATGTGCTGAACTTCCTGTCTGATTTGCCTTCCCCTGGGAAGTGATTGCCAAGTCATATGTACTCCTTTCTGAGACACTATTCTATCTTAGCTTTACAGAACCTCCCTGTTACTACCTTCTTTAATAGCTTGATGTATGATTATTGATTTGTTTTTATTTTTAGTTAATTTTTAATAGATCAGATTTGCACATTCTTTAGATTACAGATGCAAATGTTAGTTTTTGCTTTTCCTTATAGTAAAGTCTTTGTAGTCTGCATAGCATTATTCTTGTAGATAGTCGAGGTTCTACAAAGGTATACAGAAGAGGTAACCCATTTGTATATTCTGTATTCAGTATTTTATAGAAATAATCATGTATTTTGTATAGTATGCCCAAAATTATATGTTTGTGTGATTGTCTGTGTTGTGTCTTTTATGTGTGTAAGAATCTTTTTTTAATCGCAGCTTCAGAATTTGAATGACATTTTAAAAACACAGGGTAAATCACTAATTATCCTCAATGTCTTTTCTTCTCAAGGATTTAGGTAAACTTTAAGAAAAAGCATTTGAAATTTCAGCAGAAAGAAATATCTTGACTTCAAATTCTCAGGGTATTTTAGTGTTCTTTGAATGATTTGTACCACTGTGATTGTGGTTAGAAATTTTATATATTTCATAAAATAATATAGTTGGTGTATTTTATCATTTACATATATGAAAAATAATGATAAAGTAATGCTATATTGGTAACTTTTTATTATGTTTCAGACTAGAAAAATGTGAGCTGAACCACAATCAAGTGAACTTGGCATAAAGGAGGGAAACTTGATGTTAGCTAAATTAAATGAACATTATATCAGATCCTAAGAATATCTGCTGTTATCAAAATTATTGAAGGAAATGGAGGTTGCCATATGCCACTTTATCCCTTTGCAAAAATTGAAGGAGGTACAAAATTTAAACACCTGATTAAATTAAAGAATGGTAAAAAGCCTGTGCTTTTACTCTAATCCCTTGATATACCAAAAAATCATGTTTAAGAAAAAATGGAAAAACCATACAATAAAAACTGAAACGAAATTTCAATTGAAATCAGCAGAGAATATTCACTGTGTCAGGAATGCCAATAAGTGTAATTACTGCATATATTTCTGGAACTAAAGACTCTAATGGTTTTGAGATAGAAGAGATAATATTTATATAATTTGCAATGGATCTTATTGCTTTGTGAAGGAATATATTAAAGTTACATTATAGAAATCCTTGAAACTCGTGTACAGTTCTAGGTACTAGGTATTAAACTTCTTTGAAATAAGAATTTCAAGGGTTAATTTTCTATTTGTACATTTGTGTGCATGTGTGTGTTTGTCTCCACACCTTTTATAACAGCTGTTGTGTGCTAAATTTTATAGATATTGTTCCTCCGGACTACATTCTTTGTACCACAGACGCAAACTGAAGTCATCATAACTGGAATAACTTAACACAGATTAGTACCAAAAAAAAAAAGCTAATACCTTGCTCCATCAAAACAGTCCTCTATTCTAATTGAAGGTGTGATAACTAGTAGATATATTTATTTAGTTGATGACTTCAGGTGAACAGGCTGGGAAGTTTTGTTCAGACACCATGAAAATAAATCACATCTACAGAGAGAATATATTGTCTGTGAACAAATAATGCAGTCTGGTCCATACAGCCTATCAAATATAGTTTACTTTTACTTGCTAAAATAACACTCCTTGCTATTTGGAATTTATGATGGTTAACTAACATGTGAATGTCTACAGAACCTTGGCGAGCGATCATCTGCAACAGATGAGCTCATCTCAAAGGTGACTCGATTAGAGCAAGAAAAGTCAGAGCTCCGTTCACATCTTGCCGAATTGGAGGTGAGTTTGTTGTAACTGTATTTCCGTTAAGAGAGAGAGAGACACCAACTGCGGAGCTCTTTTATTTAGTCATATGTTTGGAGACTTGGGGATATTAAGGGGGATAAACACCCATTTCATCGTTATTCGCTCCTAATGACATTATTTTCTTATACGAGATACCTGCTGCTATTTTACAAGTGATATGATCAAATTCTCTTACTTATTTTTTGTGGAAACTTTTACCTTGCTAAAAATAACACTCCTTGCTATTTGGAATTTATGATGGTTAACTAACATGTGAATGTCTACAGAACCTTGGCGAGCGATCATCTGCAACAGATGAGCTCATCTCAAAGGTGACTCGATTAGAGCAAGAAAAGTCAGAGCTCCGTTCACATCTTGCCGAATTGGAGGTGAGTTTGTTGTAACTGTATTTCCGTTAAGAGAGAGAGAGACACCAACTGCGGAGCTCTTTTATTTAGTCATATGTTTGGAGACTTGGGGATATTAAGGGGGATAAACACCCATTTCATCGTTATTCGCTCCTAATGACATTATTTTCTTATACGAGATACCTGCTGCTATTTTACAAGTGATATGATCAAATTCTCTTACTTATTTTTTGTGGAAAAAAATAAAAACTGCCAAAGGCATAAAGCTTAAAGAAAAAAAAAATGATAAGGCTTTTAAAATAAGGAAATTATGCCATTCCCCCTCAGTTTATCTTTAAATTTTGTTTTTTAATCGCTTTCAAAAAAAAAAAAAACAGTAAAGTCTTGTATGTATTCTTGTAAATTTGTAGTAAATTTATATAGGGAACTAAGGGATTTACATGCTTTCATTTATAGATATTGATATCACCATTATTTTGTAACAAGAATTTTCAAAATCAGTGGATTACATGTAATTCCATTTCCATTTTACTGTCAAAAAAAAAGTTTTGAAGTAAGGGGACTTTTATGTTCAACACGACTGTTCACTGGAAAGATTTTTTCAGACTAGTAAAGGATCATAGCATGTAGGGGGGGACAGTGACTTCCTCATTTACTTGTCCTATTCTTGGCTGCTGGTCCCCTGTTGTTTCTACATTATGGATATATAAGTACACACGTGAAAAGGAACATCAGAAATGTCTGGTTTGCATTTATATTTGAGTGTTTGAGTGTAGATCTCACTAAGCTAAAGATTTCTTTCAATCTTACAACTGATATCAATACAAGTGCATTAACAGTGGGCTTTATTTCATGTTCAGGTAACAAATTGTGTCTGAATGCAGCTGGTGTTACTTTTACATCAGTTTTACTTTTACAAAAACAATAAAATACAACAGATATAATGCAAGACGAGGGGAATTCAGACTGGAGGGACCGTTTAAATACCAGGTCTTTTAAACAGGAAGGAGTGTAGCGTGTGCCTAGCAAAGCTTGATTTTGGTTGCATATGTGAACAAAGAATTCATATGATTTTTTTTTTTTTTTTTTTTCAGAATTTTTAAATTTTACTCAATTAAGTCGATTTTGTAAGGTTATGCCACCTTAATCTAGAAGTCTGTATGATGAAATACAAGTGAATTTAATATAACATATATCTGATTCTCTAAAGTTTACAGGCAGATATTGATTCCATGTAAAATTAGGTGGAAAGATCATGCTAAAACAATCTGTAAATATCATGCTGTTGTAAGGAGTCATGTTACAGGGAGATTCAGTGACCAGAAAAAAACACTAACATTTCATTCAGTATTTTGTCTTTTTGTGGCAGTGATAACCTGAAGAATTGAAGTTTTTGATGGATCATCATTATTAAGATTATTATTTCTTCTATATGTAGTTCTCTGATATAATGTACTTATATAGGAAGGTTGTCATCTATGTACAATCAGTAACTTTTTCACTCTTTCCTTTTCAGTTTTTGTCATGTACATTTCATACCTTATTCATTTTAAAGTCGATTTTTTTTTTTTTTTTTTTTTTTTTTTTTTTTTTTTTTTTTTTTTTTTTATACCACAGTGAAGTTAAGGCAGTCAGATACTGATGCTATTACATACAAATGAAATTAAGATTGGTAATTTTGAACAAGTGGCATAATTTATATGAGTTATTTCCTCTATATTTTTTAGGAGATTGTATGTACATAGCCATATTTGCATAGTGCTGATGTTTGCTGGAAGATAATTTGTATGCTCTTAATTTTTTATTCTATTTAGTGCTAGTATATGGCATATATGTGACAAGCAAGTAATAACTAGCTTGGGACTTTAAGGGGAGCAGGCATAAATTAGTTAATGCAGGTCTCTGCTGATAAAATAGCCTTCATGAAACAGATAGTATTATCAATGATCCTTGAGTGCTGCCAAAGCTAACTTCTTATATATTCTAACAACTTCTTTTCTCTCCCTTTAGACTACTTATGCTAAATCATATTTTACAAGCTATAGGAAAGAAAGCTTATCATGCTATTCTACATTTACACAATTTTTCCATAGTAGAGTTTTGGATATTTCTAAATGAGTTTTTGAGACTAGTAGACTACAACATGCTATTTGTCTTTTTTTTAGGATACATCTGATGTTACATTTATCTATTGATCTATAATTTATACCCTCAGTATATTTTGGTTTATAGCTGATTATTGAATTTGCACATATATCACTGTATTTGTTTGTCTGTAAATGTTAAAAGCTGATATTTGGCACTTCAAGTATATCTGCATATATGACAACATGCAGACATGTGCAGGCTTTTTAGTTTTATGTATATCAATGCACCTGTGTATTTTATTTTATTTTATTTTTGTCATTAGTGATGCTTTTTATAGATTGATACTAAAGATATTCAATTAATTTTCTGTTAGATGATAGGTTGCTGAAAGCAGTGAACAGCATGCTGAGAGGTGTCATGCAAGCTCTGTTTAGAGTTTATGTAATTCAGACAGAAA